CCAATGTAGAATTTCTGTTGGTTTAAGTTAAAAGTTGGGATTTGGGGAAGCTAAAAGTAAAGAGCAACATGTTAATCTCAAGCGCTGTGATTGCTGCATTACTACATCACCTGATACATCTTACAAAATGTCAGTTTGAAGAGTAAGAGGGCACTCCTTCTGCATGGCTACATCTTCACTAGTGTTTTCCACTTAGCTCGAGTCAACCTGAAAGGAAGCCCGTGGAGAAGGTCAGGAAGGACTCTCCAGGCTGTCCTCCCACACACATCCTACACAGGGCCGCTATCTCTCCCGGCCAGCAGCAGACTCACGCATGTCAAAGCCTGCGAGAAAGGCCTTTGTTCACGCTGACAGGTGGGACTGGAATGTCAAAGGCATGCATTGTGTAATGGAACAATGTTATTACGGCACACATGCAAACACACACGCACGCTCATGTTCAAATTTAGATGTATAAGCACAGACTCTGGCATATATAAACACCCCCCCCCACACACACACACACACACACACACACCACCACCACCCCCTCTCTATAACGCCTACCCGTTCTACAAGTGCTCACACATAATTGCCCTCAAACATGTACATAGTTGTTCCCCCATATGCCCACAGTCATGTGTGATCTACTCTGCAGTGGCTTGCTGTGATCTGATTGCCAGTTGCTAATTGTTACACCCACACGGTGGTCATCCACTACATTCAGTGGGTTTTAGAGATAAACATTTGCACAACATTGTACTCATTATCCCACTGTCCAACATAGTACCAATTATAATCCAGCCAGATAACGCTTGTTACTACTGAATCAATATATATTTATATCCTTTAAACTTGTGAGACATCATGGTATGAAGGAAAACCAATTTTGTTTAAAAAACTGTCAACATTTGGTGGAAAATGGTCAACCAGTTTATTTACACACTTAAAAAAAGACTTGAAAGGATCATCGATGCCAGCACACAGTGAGGCTATGCAGCACGCTATGTTTGTTTGATATCATACAATATTTATATCACCGACTATTTTATAATATCTAGTATCACATGTTGCTTGTTATAAATAAACATTTAGCAAATTAACAAATTAACTGCTTGACTGCCACCTGGGTTATCTGCATGTGTTTCAGGAAATCAAAGCGCTTCTTAAAACTCACGCATCCCCTCCAGTTGACTCCCGATTGTTAACTTGTGGCATACCGGCACGCTAGTACTGGGTTACACCCAAAAAATTTGATGACAGCATGGACACACTGATGCCTCTCCCATTTCTCCCCTCATTTGACCTTTAGAACAAGGATCATGCACACGTTCCCCATCTAAAAATAGGGAAGTCTCTGTAGGTATCCTGTATACAAATGGTGCAGACAAATAAAACACAAACTAAAGCTAATTATGTTTTACATGTCCCAAAGCAGTTTGCTCTGCTGTTGTTGTAAAATGTGATTTTAATATGAAAAGCTTTTATTCACTGTCTGGGTATCATGTGTAGATTTCCACAAGGTAAAATAAAACAGAAAACAAGGCAGCACTGTCCAAAAAATAACAGAAAATTAAGGTGAAGTTAAAATTACTAGAAAAAATGCAAACACAAAATGTAAATAAAAGCAATAAACATGACTAAAAATGAATGGTGGCAACAAAAAATGACAATTTAAAGACAGTGTAGCTATAAAAGAAAGTTTTTTTTTAATGAATTCACTGAGTCTCTGACACTTCTCCGTCTCCAGGCGGGTTAATCCGAAGCCGAAGCTGTGGAGCTCTGATGCTAAAGCACCCACTGCAGAGATGAACCTCATGTTTGGAAAAGCCAGGAGGGTCAGGGTCATATAGTACTGTGCAAAAGTCTGTTTTTCAGGTTTCTTAAAGGACATTCAAAGCTCTTCTTTGGATGTTGGCTGCCATTGCAGTGGTGTTGGGGTGGAGCCATTTACATAAATCATCAAATGTACGCTTCAGAGGACAAGCTAACGTCACTCCTGGAGTGTGTCTGAAAATAAGAGAAAAGAAAAATAGATGAAGATAAACAAAACAAATGCTATTTAAACTTTCAGGCGTATTGCTGATGCAATAGTACCCAAGATCACACTAAAAACAGATAATGTCGGCCCTGAAACCGTACAAATGGGATACATTTGAATAGATTCATATCCTGCAGAAGATGGTCAAATGCCTTCATTTGAATAAGAATGGGAGTGCTAAGGCTTAACAGCCCACCCCTGCGAGCACTATCGCTGCTTGAAAGATATTTCCATCTGCAGGAAAGGGAAAAGGTAATCTCCCTGATGTTAGATTGAGAAAAAGAGGGAAAAACATATTTCACAAGATTGTGTGCCCTTTTCATCTTTTTTCAGCAGGAATGTTTAAAACACTGCGTAGGTGTACCCTGGAGCACTTCGATTGAGGCAGAGCTGCATAAAATTGCATGACAATAATTACATAGATTAAATCTGACCTTCAACAAAATAGCAGAATGGGATGATGCACTGATCCCACTCAACCTGTCTGCTAAAATTATTTTCATAGCTTTTTTTTCTTCCCCCTCATTTTTTCCACTTTTATTTTTGCAAAATGTTCTTTTGCAAAACATCTGTTCCTGTGGGTTTATAAGAACAGCGCTAAGAAATGTACAGTATTCTGATTCTGAAGTAAATAACAGACCTTCGTTTGGAATGCCAAATAACCCGTGCACAGTCACTGCATCATTTAAAATGTAGCCTCGCAGCTGAATGTGCCCAAAACCTTTCAAGGTGCAAAGTGGTAAACAGTGAAAACAATTCCGCTCTTTGCTGGTGGTATATTACAGAAAACTACAAAAAAGAAAAAGAAAAAAGAAAATGCATTATGAGAAAAATGACTCACCTGTAGACTTGTTCTCACTGATGTGTTTTTTTACTTTTTGTCTTAGAGACTAAGAGACATGCTGTCTGATGCAAAGCTCCTGCAAAGATATGAATGAGGGTTTTGCAAATGCTATGAATCTGTTTGAAGACACCTGCAAGAGAATACTGAGTGATAACTATGGGTGCACTAACACATAGGGCATGTAAACACCTTCATTTAAAAGAAATTAGCAATAACTATCCCCATAGATTGCAGTGATATCTGATTACCATTTTATCTTTTCTTTCAGTGAAAGTGAAGATTCTTGCTCAGAGAGTGGGAAGATAAACTATGATACATGTTCCCACATATGTCTGTCTACCAATCTTCACACAACCGTTCAGCTGGGAAGAGCTGCTGGGAAAAAATGAACACATGTCAAGAGTTTAATACTGCCCTTAGTTTCAGTGTAAGCTCAGTATCTTGAGATCGGGTGAGCAAGTTATGACCTGCTTTTTTTCAGGGTTGTTAACTGAGGGTGTTTTGGAGTGCCTGTTAATGT